GGCGAACCGGACAATTCTGGAGACAGCTAGGGCGCTGCTCATAGAATCTGGGCTGGGCAACTCCATGTGGCCCCATGCTGTTCGGCACGCTACCGTCGCTAGGAACAGGGTACTCACAAAGGTTGGGGATGACTCGTGGGTGCCGTTGGAGAGGTGGCTTGGGAGGAAGCCGCCGGTGGACATGCTGAGGGTGTTCGGTTGCATGGCAGTCGCCCACGTCCCCAAGACCTACCGCAGTAAGTTGGGGGCGAGTGCAATCTGGTGTGTGCATTTGGGGCTGGCTGCTGAGAGCAAGGGATGGCTGCTGTGGGAACCCTCCAAGGGTGTGTTATTTGACAGCAGGGATGTGAAGTTTGTTGAGGGCATGATGTATGGGAGCTGGGAGAAACAGCCGGAGGCCAGGGTGTCCCAGCAGATGGAGCAGATTACCATGCAGCTGGACCTGACTCCTAGTGTGTGGGAGGAGGGAGAGGAGGCAGCTGCAGAGGGTGGTGATAAAGAGAAGGTGCAGGAGGCACCTGCTGGTGGAGGTGATGGTGTGGAGATTAGCGGTAGCACTAGTGGAGCTGCTGGATCCGAGGGAGGAGAGCAGCAGCAGGGGAAAACTAAGAAGCCGAAGGGTGTTATTATGAAGGGATGGGAGACACCCGTCTCCAGGCCAGGACGTACCCGTATGGCTACTAAGAAGCTGACTGCAGGAGCTGATGTAGCGGAGCAGCAGCTTGGGACCGAGGAGGCATTGCTGATTCTACCGCATGGCTATGACCCGGATGAGGAGGATCAACCTGCGTACTGTTTTCTTGCCCCTGCACCAGAGGAACCAGCTAGCATGGAGGAGGCATTAGCTGGACCAGATAGGGACAAATGGCTAGCTTCCAGGGATGCTGAATACCAGAGCCTGCTGGAGAATGGGACTTGGGAACTAGTGGTGCTGCCTGAGGGAAAGAAAGCGGTACAATGCAAGTGGGTGCTAAGGATCAAGACTGACGACAAGGGGCAGGTCACCATCTACAAGAGTAGGTTGGTGGCTAAGGGGTTTATGCAGAAGGAGAAGCGGGACTTCAATGAGATCTTTGCTCCCACTGCCAAACCCCCTACCCTTCGTGTCTTGTTGGCAGATGCAGCCGTTAGTGGGAAGTTCATTATCCAGATGGACATATCAACGGCATTTCTCAACGGGATTTTAGAGGAGGAGGTGTTCATGACGCAGCCACCTGGGTATGAGGATGGTACGGGCAGGGTGTGCAAGCTAAAAAAGTCCATCTATGGCTTGAAGCAGGCGCCACGCTGCTGGTACCAGAAGTTGGCAGCTGTTTTAGAGGAGATGGGATTCAGGACCAGCAGCTGTGATGAGAGCCTCTTTCTCAAGGGGGAGGGGGAGAAGCTGATGCTGTTTCTGGTCTATGTGGACGACATTCTTCTCTTTAACAGCAGCATGAAGGAGATCCAGAAGGTGCAGCAGCAGCTGATGGAGAACTTCAAGTGCAAGAACCTTGGGGAGGTAAAGTACTACCTCGGGATGCACGTGGAGAGGGATCTGGATCACAGGTGGTTGAAGCTGCACCAGGAGAAGTTCATCAAGGAGCTTGGGGAGAAGTATGGAATTGAGAATGAGCGCAAGGTTGCAACTCCCCTGCCAGCAGAATTCAAGCTTGTGAAAGCTGCAGAGGATGAAGGAGTTGAAGCCGAGGAGCAGCAGCAATTTCAGTCCTTGGTGGGCAGCCTCTTGTATGCAGCAGTTCACACGAGACCCGACATCTCTTTCTCGGTTGGGCAGCTGGCTAGGGTAGTGCAGAATCCATCAGAGGAGCAGGTGGATGCAGCTGAGCGTGTGGTGAAGTATCTGAACTCTCACCCAAGCATTGGAGTTCAATACTCCGCATCTGCACAGGTGAAGCAGAAAGGGGTTGAGGTGCTGAAAGAGAAGGGGGAGAGGCTTGGAGAAGGCAAGCTTTTTCTCACTTGCTTTACTGATGCTACGTGGGCCTCTGAGAAGGAGGATTCCTCATCTGTGGGAGGATACATCTGCGTAGTTGGGGGAGGACCGGTTAGTTGGAGGTCAAAGAAGCAGACGGAGACAGCACTCTCTTCCGTGGAGTCAGAGTACATGGCGATGTTCCATGGGGTGAAGGAGGTGATTTGGCTGAGGAGGTTGTTAGAGGAGATTGGCCAGGAGCAGAAGGTTGCTACGCCGCTGTTTTGTGATAGCAAGGGGGCTCTTGGGATGGCCAGGAACGCTGTGCTTCATGGGCTGAATAAGCACATGCGTATCAAGTGGCACTGGCTGCGTAAGGAGGTGAAGAGGGGGACGGTGAATCCGATCTACATCAAGACTCACCAGCAGCCAGCGGACTTCCTCACCAAGAGGCTTGCGGATGAGTCTCATTGGCGTTGTGTGCGCATGAGTGGAATGAGCATGAACTAGTATGGAATGATGGAGATGCAGCCGGCAGGCTGAGGGGGAGTGTGTTGGGTGCAAATTCACATTGCACGACATCCTGCCGTCTGTTTGTACGAGTATGCGTGTGCGAATGCATTTGCGTGTGAATGGTATGTTTGTCTGTTTGCTTGCTTTCGCAATTTTCGCTTGAAGCATTTGCAGGTACTCGCAAAATGTGCGCTTCGGCATAACATTGTACGCGCTATGAACAGTACAAGCAGAAAGGACGAGCTCGCAAAGGAACCCAAGATGGAAGCTTTGCGGTTCAACTTACTTGATTGCGCAGATTCAGTTCTATCCAACTCGAAATTGTACTGTTTTGTTTGGTTGACTATAGTGTAGTAGGGCAGGCACTATAGGGGTACAATTTAGGTGAAGGTTGGATGTTGTTTGTCTGTATCTGCATGCTACAGGGCCAGGGGAAACCAGCGGAACCAGCATTTGGCTGGTTGGGCAAAGACAAAACAGGTTCTGTTTTTAGGACCTGAACCTGGTTGTTGTTTTCCCAGGTTGGAAAAACAGAACCAGAGGTTGTTCACCAACCTATCACCTGCTATTTTGTTCAGCCAGGTTGGTTCTGTTGCTTGGAATTATTTGGGATCATCCCTGGTTGTTCCCAGGTTGATTCCCAAGGTCCCTGCTAGCTAGAGCTATTTATTCCTTCTCTGTTTGTACCTGAATATAGTGAAATTGATTCAAGCGAATTCCTTCCTTGCTGGAATTTCGTTTTCTACGCGATGAGACGGCGGAATGCTACCCGAGTCAACGCTAGTATGCTAGCACTCCAACGCTAGGCTAACGCTGTCCGAGCCATAACTTCGTAATGGCAGAACTTTTCGCGAGGCAACTTGGCTTATTTTAAAGCTCTTAGAGTGAGCTTCGATATAGCAAATTCTCAGCTTAATCCGATCGACGGTCTGCACGATACGCTGCGCGACGTTCAAGGTACTCTTGCTGTTTTGACTAAGTCCCTCTTGATCCCTCTCTCTACAAACTCGGACCCGAGGATAGGGGCTGGTCTTGTACCAGGCACCCAAGGACCCTTGGAGGTGACCCCGAGGAGAGGTTTTAAGTGTGATAAAGTCTTAATAGCTTGAGTTTATTAGGCCCTTACACCAACAGAAGTTGAGGGAGCGGCTAGAGGTCGCTTCCAACAACCGCCGTCGCCTCATGGGGCACGGGCGCAATTCCAAGTACCCGTTCATGGAACGGGCTGTCTACCGCCAGGTCCTGAAGCACCGGGCGGAGGGCCTTGCCGTCACGGTCAGCATGCTCCAGAAGTGGAGCGCCAAGTACATGAAGCACAGGATGCCTGTAGGCAACTGGCGCGCTTCGTTCCGGTAGGCGACTCATTTCCGCGCACGCTGGCATTTGGCGAGGCGGGTGAAGACGAAGATGGGACAGAAGCTGGCAGCGGGTAAGTGAAGAATGTGCCAATGTTTCGGCTATTAAGAAGCTAATGCAAGGGGTAACCCGTGGCAATGTTTAGCTAATGCTTCTCGTTGCTCTGCTCGCATATTGCAAGGCCAAGGTGGAGTCGTTTTGGGATTTCGTGCGCTAGATGCACTCTCTGCATGATTACCCTCTCGACCTCATCGTGAACGCGGACCAAATGCCGCTTTTCCTGGAGATGCCGGCGGAGCGCACGCTCGAGATGAAGGGAGCGCGCACGGTCCAAGTACAGAGTGCGGGCTATGAGAAGGATCGTGTTACTGTCATGCTGGCAGTAACAACGAGCGAGCTCAAACCTCCGCCGTGCGTGGTTTTCAAGCGCAAGACCATCCCAAAGGTGGCCATCCCTGCCGGTAAGCAATACACGATTACGATGTTGTCCGTGCTCTTCCCTGTCTAATGTCGCAACTGAATCTGGCGCTCTTGTGTTGTTTGGCAGGTGTGGTGATCCGTGCACAAGAAAAGGTTGGATGGACGAAGCCCTGATGCACGATTGGATTACCCAGGTGATGGTGCCGTTTCTGAAGCCCCTACGTGACACAAACGGACGCCGCAGGGAGGGCTTGGTTGTGCTCGACTCCTACCGCGGCCATTTGACCGAGGCGGTTGGGCATACCATGCGGATGTTTTGGCTGTCCCAAGCTGTCATCCCAAGGGGCTGCACACCGCTGGTGCAGCTTCTAGATATGTCGGTGAGCCGCGCGTTCAAGTGCGGTGTGCGTCATCGCTACAGTGTCTGGTTTGAAGAAGAGGGAATCAACCTCACCACCAAGGCTGGTGAGTTGAAGCCCTAAGATCCGCTTGGTTTCCGTTGAATCCGTGTCAGCGTGCGCTCGGTATGCTCACGTTCGTCCTTGTCTACCTTTCCCCGTCCCCCTGGCAATCTCAAGAAGCCGCCAGCGGAGTTGGTGCTTCGCTGGATCGATGAGTCGTGGGAATCAATCCCAGAGGAGCTCGTGAAGAAGGCGTTCGTCACGTGTGGGATCGCCACCCGCGTCGATGGCAGCGAGGACCACCTCATCCTTGCCCACATGCGGGCCAAGAGTGAGGTGGAAGTCCTTGACAATGTCAACGACCTGGTTGACAACGATCTCGTCGTCAACCCCTTCTACGCTGAAGTCCCCATGCCGGCCGAGGAGCTGCAGGCGGCGGCACAGGAGGATGACGCCGCCGAGGAGGACGCGGAGGCGGCGGCGGCAGAGGAGGAAGGGTTCGTGCTTGAAGAATGCAGGCAGGCAGAAGAGCCCAGCAATGACGAGTGGTGGCGCCCTGGCCGCTATGACGGGGAAGAGTGTGAAGAGTGGTAGGCAGGGGACGATTCTAAGTAAAAAGCATGGGGATGTCTAGTATGTGGTGATGTTGTGGCTATGGAGCTGCAGTCTAGGTGACATTGACAATGTCTAGGTGCAAGCGCTGTACTTCTGTAGTTCCTATAATGTCACGTGTATGATATTAAATGAGCTATCGTTTTTTTCCGACTGTAACACCCCCCCAGGGTCTTATATAGAATCAGCCAAAAAGGAGGGTATAGTAAAAACGAGGTTGCCCATAGCACCCACCCCGCACAAGCTACCCGGGGGTGCTCTATCATGGGGGGGTGGTTTTTCCGGGAAAATACGGTACATTGGGTGCCCCTAATCTAGGCTAGGGGGTGTCACAAATCCTACGGTACATGTTTTACGTTGTTAGAGTTGGGTAGCTTACATGAGGGTTAGGTTATTTGTACCAAACTTTTACACTTCATTCACATTCTACGATATGTTTCTCAGTGTCGAACATAAACTTCTTCCCAGCACAAATAGCCAGGCCATGCGATTCTACCACTAATAACGGCTCCATACATATCTTCGAGCCCACGAGGTTCCAGAACTTCGTTCCACCCAGGGCACACATTCTTGTTGCAATTTCCAACACTCAATAGTCGCAGCATCTTCAGATCTAGAAGATCCTCTGGCAGACCCTCCAACTGCACACAGCCACGCACACTAAGGGTGTGTCAGATCCATTTTCACGATAATCCAACTGGTCGGATTTCGCGAAAGTAACGATGTTGCGACGTTCGTCTGTAAATTTCGGCTACCTCGCCACATTCGGCCACTTGTTGTCAGATCCGTTGGCCGTTTCAAGAGTCGACAACAATCCAACTTGCAGTCAACTCGAAATTCGACCAGGCTGAGCTACAGTGACCATACGACTTTGCATGCTCACGTGTGCGATAAAACGGCACATGGTAACTACGAAATTACCAATTATTGACAATCATGCGACAAAATCGCAAAAACTCAACTGCAAATCTGACACATCCCTGTAAATCGGCCACCAAATGTGTCTGTTTTGAAGATGTGGCCGATGGGTGGTCGACTACGAAGTTGACCACGTGGTCGGCTTTCGCGAAAGATTTTGTCGACAATATGGTCGACTAAAAACCAGCCAGAACAACTTTTAGCAGATCTGACACACCCTAAAACTGCGCAGCCGGGTCAGTTGAGCAAACTCTGAAGGAAGGCAGTGCTGGCCTGTGTTCTCCACATGCAACTGGTGGAGGCATGCAAGCTGGGTGAGGGAAGCGGGCAGGTGGTGCAGAGCGGGGCACTCAAAGAGGTGCAGCTGGTGCAGGCAGGATGTAGCGCCAATGCTGTCCGGCAGCTCCCTCAATTCTCGCGCACAGTGGATCTGCAGAACCCTCAGCTGCGGCACAGCCCATCCCATGTCGCTTGGAAGCCGCTGCATCTTCCCCACGTTCCACATGACCAGCGTATGCAGCTGGGGGAGCAGCACAAGGGAGAAGGGCAGCTCCACAGCCTCCTCCTGCAGCGCCAGCTCCACCTGCTTCACGCGCGCCAACCTGCTCCCCACAGCCATCCTCTCCTCCGCACCAACCAGCTTCAAGGAGAGCTTTCTCAGCCAAGGCAGCACGGAGACGTCTGGCAGATCAGCCACGTGGTAGCTGTTTCCAAGACTCAAGACCTGTCAGAATCCCAACCACTAGACCATTGGGATAAAAGGGCTTGTTTCAGTAGCGGGTCAGTGCGCCCATAACCCCCCAGGCGAACGCGCCTGTAACCCCCCCTAGGATCGATCGGGGATCTCACAGTGTAGCTCTACTAACACCCCCCCACATTGGGAGGCCCAGGACTAAGCACAGCGGCACCGGCCTACATGTGCATACATCGGGAATCGAACCCGAGACCGCTCTGATACCATGTTAGAATCCCAACCACTAGACCATTGGGATAAAAGGGCTTGTTAAGTAGCGGGTCAGTGCGCCCATAACCCCCCAGGACAAGTAGCCTGTGACCCTTCCCTAGGATCATCGGGGATCACCAGTGGACCTCTGACACCCCCCCGCACTGGGATGCCCGAAGTGCACACACTGGGATTCGAACCCGAGACCTTCGCTCTGATACCATGTCAGAATCCCAACCACTAGACCATTGGGATAAAAGGGCTTGTTTCATTAGCGGGTCAGTGCGCCCATAACCCCCCAGGCGAACGCGCCTGTAACCCCCCCTAGGATCGATCGGGGATCTCACAGTGTAGCTCTACTAACACCCCCCCACATTGGGAGGCCCAGGACTAAGCACAGCGGCACCGGCCTACATGTGCATACATCGGGAATCGAACCCGAGACCGCTCTGATACCATGTTAGAATCCCAACCACTAGACCATTGGGATAAAAGGGCTTGTTAAGTAGCGGGTCAGTGCGCCCATAACCCCCCAGGACAAGTAGCCTGTGACCCTTCCCTAGGATCATCGGGGATCACCAGTGGACCTCTGACACCCCCCCGCACTGGGATGCCCGAAGTGCACACACTGGGATTCGAACCCGAGACCTTCGCTCTGATACCATGTCAGAATCCCAACCACTAGACCATTGGGATAAAAGGGCTTGTTTCATTAGCGGGTCAGTGCGCCCATAACCCCCCAGGCGAACGCGCCTGTAACCCCCCCTAGGATCGATCGGGGATCTCACAGTGTAGCTCTACTAACACCCCCCCACATTGGGAGGCCCAGGACTAAGCACAGCGGCACCGGCCTACATGTGCATACATCGGGAATCGAACCCGAGACCGCTCTGATACCATGTTAGAATCCCAACCACTAGACCATTGGGATAAAAGGGCTTGTTAAGTAGCGGGTCAGTGCGCCCATAACCCCCCAGGACAAGTAGCCTGTGACCCTTCCCTAGGATCATCGGGGATCACCAGTGGACCTCTGACACCCCCCCGCACTGGGATGCCCGAAGTGCACACACTGGGATTCGAACCCGAGACCTTCGCTCTGATACCATGTCAGAATCCCAACCACTAGACCATTGGGATAAAAGGGCTTGTTTCATTAGCGGGTCAGTGCGCCCATAACCCCCCAGGCGAACGCGCCTGTAACCCCCCCTAGGATCGATCGGGGATCTCACAGTGTAGCTCTACTGACAAGACCTAAAGAGAGAGCGACAGAGACGTAGGAGGCTCAATTTAATCATAACACCCAGTCAGCTCCGGCCATTTGAGCTTCTTAAGGCTGTCCAGCCTTTTGGGAACCGAGACGAGCTTCAAACATTCATCAACTGTAAGGGTTGCAAGGCTCGAGAGGCTTGTGAGGGACTTTGGAAGCCGCTGAATCCGAGGGCAGGAGTGAATGTGCAACTCCTACAGGTTAGTGAGGTTCCCCATGTCTTTGGGAAGCTCTTGAATCGTGCACATGGCCAGTTCAAGCCTGGTCAATGAAGTCAGCTGGGTGAATGACAGTGGCATTCGCGGCTGCTGATTCTGACCATTCAAGTAGATTGTGTGCAGCCTTGAGAGCTCACCAATGTTCTTCGGCAGCCTCACCCGAGGCATCTTCACAATGGCGAGGGTTTGGAGTGACGTGAGGTAGCAGAAAGCTTCGAGCAGCTAGAGGAGGTGCGGCCTGATAGTGCATTCATTCAACAAGAACCATCGTCTTGAGGGAAGGCAGGTGGCAGAGGGAGTCCGGGAGGGCCAGGAGTGGCAGATTGTGCAGCACGAGGATCTTCAGGGCATGCAGGCATCGGATATCGTCTGGCAGGTCGTAATAACCCAAAAATTTGAGTCTTTGGTAACATTTAGTAAGGGTCAAGCTCTCCAAGAGAGTTAGAGAAGCGAAGCTTAGATAGATTGGCCTAGGGTCATAATGCCGCAGACTCAGGCGAATTATCAGCTTGCGGAGACTCGGCATCAGATCTCCGATATGAAAGTTCGGAGTGTCGGAATCAGGACCCTCCATTTCAATCTCGAGCCGTTCTAGGGCGGCACACGGGACCACCTACCTGAACCTTGACGACTTAAGCAGAGCCAGCTGCGTGGTGTCTAAGTCGGCAAACACCACAGAAGACGGCTTGAGCAGAGGCAGTTGTGCCATGTCGACGTCTGCAGAGACCAGGGAATTGTGGTAAAATGCCACGGCTTCATCTGAGCTTGAGAAGGCGGTGATGCGTGAGAGGCGAACGATGTTTGCCACTCGTTTTAAGAGATATCTGGAGGCAAGGTGCAGGCTGGTGAGCGACGTAAGCTTAGCAAATTTGGGAGTTCGAGAGTGTGCAGATGCGGCAGCTGAAAGAAGGAAGCGGGGACTTTGACACAACGATCGAGGCAGTAAAGTGAAAGCTGCTCCAGCCGAGTGCAGTGCCGGAAAAAGAAATCCAGGCCAGCGGTTGTTATAGGTTGCGCGTCCTTCTCACATTTACCGGCATAAAAAACTTTACACTTCACATGCGCGATTCTGGTTCCGACGTGGAGGATGGCGAGGTTGGGACATGACGACGCGAGGTGAGCGAGGAAGGCGTCGTCGAGAGTCTCGACGCTGCCGTCGCAGAGGTGAAGATGGGTCAGGTTCGGTAAGGCAGCAACAGCACTCGCGAGTGTTGGAAACAAACAATCGTAAGCGCCTCTGTCGTGTCGAAACACCAAGTTAGAAGCGAAGCGAAGTATATCGAAGCACCGGCGAGTCAACCCTCAGAGGTTGAGCAGTTGCTAGAGGTTACGCGAAAGTCAAAGGTCAGCGAGCTTTGACCTGACAAGTACAGCGCGATAGCAAGGACACACAAATGACTCGTTACAGAGCAGTTGCTCGAGTCGTTACTGTATCGAACCGCAACAGCAACAGTGAAGTAATTGCAACCGTATCTCTTCGTATTCCTTGTACTCTTATATAATCTTGTATCTCCTTGTTTTAATCAATCTACTTTGCCCTCACATACTAGCGCAAGGTGGTTCACAACTCTTCATTAAACGCTTCCGCTATTACATTAGTCCTACTAGGAATTTAGTCCTGCAAAGATCCTAAGGGCTTTTCTCAGCCCAACAGCGAGAGCCTGGCAAGACACGGCGAGATTGTCTCAGACGAGAAGCGCGGAGACGCAACGCTGAGTCAGACCGCGCCAGCGACGGCAGACGGCCGCGACGAAGAGAATACGGTGCACGTCCGCAGATGGAGGAGGAATGGGTAACGGGGTTTTCTTCCCCTCACGAATGGTCTTCTCGAATGAAAGGTTTGCGGAGAGGTACTTCGGGGTGGGAATTCAAGGGTTGGAGTCCCACAAGCAGTCGCTGCCCGTTTGTATAGGAATCGGCCGCTCAGGGTGCCAAAATACCTTGGTAAGAATGTCGTCAGTGTCAAACATTATATATGTTATGCTTGTGTAGGCTACAGTGGGTTAGCCTATAGGGGGTACACAATTCTAGGGTTTACTACTTGTACTCATTTCACTTCTAGTTCATCCACTCCTGTTCGCTTATTCTCACATGGTATAGAGCGGGTCCTTCTACGGACCGTTTTTTTGGGCCCACCGAAGCGCCCCCCGAGGCGCGATCTTTTTTAGCGACCCCAAGGGTCGCCATTTCCCCTGCGGCCCCGCCGCCTTCACTGACGCGGCCCCGCCGCCCTCTCTGACGGGACCCCGCCGCCGGCCCTTACGCGGCCCCGTCGCCGGCTCTCACGCGGCCCCGCAGCAGGCTCTGTCGCGGCCCCGCCCCGGCCTTTACGCGGCCCCGCCGCCTGCTCTCACGCGGCCCCGCCCCGGCTCCTTCGCGGCCCCGCCGCCTGCTCTCGCGCGGCCCCGCCCCGGCTTCTACGCGGCCCCGCCCCGGCTTTCACGCGGCCCCGCCGACGGCTTTGTCGCGGCCCCGCCCAGGCCCTTACGCGGCCCCGCCGCCTGCTCTCACGCGGCCCCGCCCCGGCTCCTTTGCGGCCCCGCCGCCTGCTCTCGCGCGGCCCCGCCCCGGCTTCTACGCGGCCCCGCCCCGGCTTTCACGCGGCCCCGCCGACGGCTTTGTCGCGGCCCCGCCCGGGCCCTTACGCGGCCCCGCCGCCTGCTTTCACGCGGCCCCGCCCCGGCTCCTTCGCGGCCCCGCCGCCTGCTCTAGCGCGGCCCCGCCCCGGCTTCTACGCGGCCCCGCCCCGGCTTTCACGCGGCCCCGCCGACGGCTCTGTCGCGGCCCCGCCCAGGCCCTTACGCGGCCCCGCCGCCTGCCCCCGTCGCGGCCCGGTCACCTCCTGACGGCCCCGCCGTCCCTTCGTGACGGCTCCGCCGTCCCTTCCTGACGGCCCCGCCGTCCCCTCCTGACGGCTCCTGCCGTCCCCTTCTACCGGCCCCGCAACTGCACCTGCTGGCCCCGCCGCTGCACCTACCGGCCCCCACCACCCACCCCCCCCTTTTCCCGTCGCCTGTCGAGGCGACCTGAGGAGGCCGCTTGCGGAGTGTGGCCAGCAGAGGGGTGGCAGGTGTGTGGCCTCCCCTGCTTCTCCTCCTCCTTCATCTCCCGCTGCAGCAGCCGAGCCGCTCACCTGCAGCAGCCGAGCCGCCCCACCGCCGAGCCGCCCTGCACCCGAGCCGCCCAGCAGC